GTATTATAGAACTATTACATGAATAGTTTCCTAAGATTTTATAGTTATATGATGAGTATACAACAAGCTACTTATACAACTTTAGTTATTGTCTAATTTAAGTAGTTCGCCATATAGACGATTAACTATCTGTTAGTTCTATACTATACTATTATATCTGCAACCTATCTGTAAGTTATCTATTTAAACACTCTGATCATTAACCTTTTTCCCTATTCTAAACTAATGTTATTATTATATCTGATTACTTAAGCTAGTTGACTTATATATAGATCTATTTACTATACAGCTTAGATCTTTTTCGAGATATATATTGCTTAATATATTATAAGCTGCAGAGCTCTAGCTAAGCTTAGAAGTAATTTTTACTAGAGTAGTCATGTATCTATTTTACAGATTTATTTAGTTTAGACTCTTATAGATATTTGTACGAACTCAGTTCCTGCTGTGGCTGTCTACTAGATATAATTCTCCAAGTTCTAGCTGAATATTTCATGAAGTAGATCTTCTTAATTTAGTTAGCTACCAAGCCAAGGTGGTGTTGCTACTAATGCAAGGCACCAAGCTGCATTACACAGTGGACTTACTCGTATCTATTGATCTCACATCCTTTGTACTCAGGTTTTTCACTGGATCAGATGTTAACTAGCTTGACTATTAAAATTTGTACTACTTCACCAAACTTGGAATTTCTATTATGCAGATCTCTTGCTTGTAGATCCTATCAAGATTTATTCATACAACATAACTCGAACATTGCATTATACTTCCAATATCTAATTGATATTAGTGCAATATAATTTATAGGGTTATAACTCTCAAAAACAGATAGAATTTACTGTAATTAGGTACAAAGGTCTGGATGATTATTCAAATTCATTGACAGTGGAATTTGAACTCTAAACCTCTTGTATAGTGATCTAGTAATCTAACTACTTTACTAAGATCACCAGACCTTTCAAAAAATTTTTTTATATTTTTAATCGCCAAATTACTTTTATAAAAATCAAACTTCAAATTTTTATAGTTTAAACTTTAAAACAAATTAATAATTAAGCTTTAAATTTTTAAATATTTTAATTTATTAGAAATATATAATAATCTATTACATTTTATAAGATATCAATTAGAATAAATAAATTTAAATGTTCAGCAGGTTTTTTTGCTTTAATAAATAACTTTAATTTTACATAAATTTTGTTTAAATGCGAAGAAAATAAACATATACAAAAAAAAAAAAAATGATAATACTTAAATCAATACTTATTTTGTCTTGTAATTTTTACATTTGGTGCTATTTGATAAATTCTTGACTCATTATTAATAGTAGCTTGTAAAACAGATTTTATCTTTGCAATTCTTTCTCATTCTATTTGAGTAGCATGCTAGAGAGTTATTCATAAATTGTAAATATCTTCTTCTTCTATATTTTTCCATTTTTCAGTAATTGCAGCAATTTCTTCTTGCAATTTTGCAAGTTGGATATCTTTATTATTTTTTTGATCTGCAGAAGGATTATAAGAAATGTGAAAATCAAAAAAATCTGATTTAATAAGTAGTTGATCATTATCTCTTGTATTCTTATCATATACATAATTTTGTACTAAAACAGCAAATACATATTTGCATGGTAATTGTTGTGATTGAAAATCACAACAATTACAAATATAGAGATAGCATCAGAATAATTTTTAATGTTTGTAAGATCTTTTTTTCTAACTGAATATTCAATATTATCATTCATTAAAGAACATATTATTTAAAGATCAGACTAGATATTGTAAATATTATTGTTATCAATGTGTGTAGTTCCTACAAGTTCACGAACTTGTTGCTGATATTGTAGTAGATTTATTCTGCTAATTTTTAATTCATTCTAAAAGATAGAAAAATTTATATCACAAAGTACAACTTCTACAAGAAGATATATTTCGCTATCAAGTTATTAACCTTAAAGATAGGAATTAAAATTAGTAAAATTAAGTAGCTATTTTTTTTGACAAACTATTAGCTCTATTAATAAATACTGAATAAATTTAAAAAAAAATTAAAAATTAAAAATAATTAATAAATTAAATAAATAAATTAATAAATAAATAAATAAAAACAATACTC